AAAAAATAGAATACTTCAAGAACTAATGATTTTAACAAGATATTTAGGCGGTTGGTTTGGGAGGCTAGATAGGCGACTCGGAAAGATTGTGTTGGGCGGCTTTTGCAATTTATATTTCAGGCTCTATTTCATCAGTTGCAGTCAAAGCTCTAGCTCTCAGGTATGGACTCTGTTTTGCTCTTTATTCGGGTGTATCAATTCAATATGCTAAGACGGATGCCCTAGTTATTATTTGTGGTTTATCTGAGCTTTCGCCTAACGACGCCTTGTTTCAAGTCTTTGCGGACATTTTATCGCTTTTATCGAATCTCAATTGCGGGTCTTGCAGCCATATTGATAGGAATCAGAATTTTGTTGCGCATCATCTAGCTAGTCAGGCTTTGTTGTTTACGGGACCCTTCTTATGGAAGGATTGTCTCCCGTCTTTCTTATCTCCTCTTTTTGGTAATGTACGGAGACTATATCTTAGTTGATCGTTTAATGTTATTGTAATCGTACAAAAAAATAATAATAATAAAATAAAAGAAAAAAGTAGATAGAATACTTCAAGAACTAATGATTTTAACAAGATATTAAGGAGACCGGCTAGCATTTTAATGTTTCAAGGATTACCCAAAAAGCTATTTAAATTGTTAGAAATAAAAGGAGAAACCAGTTGTCTTCCAGTATTGCAATCAGAAAAAATTATCTTTTAGTACTACAAATATACACTAAACATTTGGTTGTCTAACAAACTTATATTATTCACAAGAACTAGACAGTGACAAACCACAAAGGCATGATTTTCTTAATAAAAAATGAACCAAACTAAATCTCAGGTGTAACTTTGTTCGTTTATTATTCCTCCCAATCTTTACGGCCCATGAACCCATATATCCCATAAGAACAACACAAGGTGTCTTCTTGCAGCCAACCTAACGGCAAACCTTATCAATGTCCTCCTTATTTATATACTTGTGTGTCATAAATCATCCAGATATAATCTTACACCAAAGTTTCCCCATATCCCAAGCACATCCTTCGCTTATAACATTAAGTGATGTGTATTGCCATATTCTTCCGTGGATGAGCACAAGGACAGAAGAACACAGTTAAATTACATAAAGGAAAAATAGAAGGAAGAGAAAAAAAAAAAAAAAATGATACAACAACAGCCTCGAGAAAAGGCGTCAAGAGGCCTGGTAGAAAGAAAGTTTGCTCAGGGAATCAATCCTCACAATATGCTCGTCAGAGTCGTCGCTCGACTCATCTCTCGTTGGACGCTTGTTGTTGTGATGCAACTCCTCATGTCGTGAAACAATTTGCTTTTTTTTACTATCTTCTTGCCCATAAAGTCTCGTGCATAGGGTGGCAGACCCTTCGGATTTTGAGGAGACCATTCGACGTTGTGTGTGATTGGAAGGGACTCTAGGATATGACATGCTGTAAGCCGGCCTCACTCTCCTACTTCGAGTACGTCGTCCTCCGATGTTAATCTGATAGTAAACAAACTAAGATTGTCAACGCAAAAGTTTCGGCAAGGCTGCTGTTAGGCAGGCCTAGGAGTTAGACATCATATATTTATTCAATGGATAATTCATACTTTCAAGTTGTAATTTCATACTCTTAAAAACAACATAAACTTACAAAAGTATGACATTCTAGCATAAGTACGCATTTTTGTTAAATAAGTATGTTGGGTCTACTTGTCTAATCGTTAGACCACCTCACAACAAGAATTTTTGTTCTTATTTAGGTGGGTCCAATTTTTAAAAGAGGTGCATGTTCTGTAAATTTTAGGGGTGACTGCAAAAACTACACCTGAGGTTTGGGTAGTTGCCACACACAAAAACTAAACAGATAATTTGATAATTATAAATATACTATTTTTGAGGTTAAATTATGACTTTCATTTTGCCCAAGTCGGGCCAGTCGTTATTTGACTTCACAGAATTTGCAGATGCCATCAAATATTGTACATTTACATTCCTCAATTTTCCAACACTACAAAGCAGCTCTTACTTTTTGTTTGGTTCTTTTTAAATGTTACGAAAAGCTAAGAGATGTAATTGTAAAAAATGGAGTTGATGTAACTATAGAAATATCTAGAGTGGTATTTCGAACTGTCAAAATCAAGCCGTTTTGTTTTCATTAAGCAAAACCTCAAGAGTAGTTGTGATTATCCTTAATCATTAAGGATGAATAGTTCTTTCATTAACTGCAACAAACTTGTAAAGCATTTTCATAATCAGTTCAAACTATAAGGTGAAAACATAATATGTAGTTTGAGAGGATGATTTATTAAACCTACCATGCTACCATAATTGCTCAGCTGCATTTGCCTGGCAGACAAATTGTTTCCTTGTTCGTATGACACTTCTGGATCATGATGTTTGGAGATGAACATTTGTTCAGGCCACCTCATCAGACCACCATGCTCTGGAACAAGAGATCCAGACGAGTAATCGGCTGAACGTGAAATTATTGAAGACGGCCTTTTTTGGAGAGTTCTACCAGCTTCGAACCCAGCAATGTCTAGTGTAATTACCCTTGCCCTTGTCTCAACTTGATAGACAGAAACTTGGTGAATGAAACTTTCTGCCCTGACGCCTATATGCAAAATATATAAGTAACACAAGGAATCTGTTTACATACTGACAATCAATTTAGCGATATAGTATAAATTCTTGGGAACCATTTTTCGATCAAGACGTACAATAAACCAGATGCTGTACTTGTCACACATGTGCAGGCGCACTTAAAATTATAAGGTGGCAACTCTCGTCTGAACAATGTTGTTCTTATTATGCATCAGTTGGTTCCATTAGCAAGCAAGTTTTTCAAACACTTAGATAGATAATAATGGTGGAATTACGCAACAGCAGACATATATTAGGTAAGTTTTACAACCTTTGTCAGAATGAAATGTGTTAAACCCACACACTGAGAAACTAGGAGTGTAACATCAAATGAACATGACAAAATCTCCAGTAAATGTCCAATGTTTATCATCCTATCTAAAACTATCTACCATGAGAAAAATATCCTCAATCAGGCAAGAGACAAATTGGTAGCATGATGATCGTACACAACACCACCGAAATACGAAATCCATATGCATGCAGGGAGATGAAAAGAAAATCATCTTGCTAAAACTTCTCTCAAAAAAAAAATATGATCACAAAATATTCTGAAACACTATGGAATAATATATTACTATTATCTCAAAACGCAATAAGAAACAATAAATTGTAATCAAATTCCATGAATCAAGATACAAAACCATGACACTTTCTTGAGGAAGCATATTGAACTACCATAATCTATTAATACTACCGCAAATTTCAGGTGGCAACAATGATCAGTCTTCAACACCACGGTCAAAATCATTTAACATCTTGATTTATCTTATGCTTTCAAAAGTTTTAATTTAAGCCAAAAAAATCAAACTGGAGGATAAAGTAAATGTCACACTAAAGATTGAAAGGCTAATAAGAGTAACACAGAACCATTGGGTATAAAAGCTGAAAAAGTAGGACAGCTGGTAAAAATCTATCAGCAAAATGTATAACTTGATGAGTAACAAGCTAATTACCTGATGTTTCAGGTCGAGTGAAACTTTGATTTCTACGGGGTAGTATTGTTGCTGGAGCTGTAAGCAGCTCTTCTTGACCACCTGGAATCTTTACAAAACCTTCCAATAAGAAACCCACATAATGTGCAGGTAGTTCAAAACTTTCTCCCCTTATGTATATATTCATTGTCGACCTTTCAGCGATAAGAGTTCTTAAATCTGGCATCGGCATTTTCTCGAACATGTGAGGAAGCATGAGCTTGGCAAGAACAATGACACTTTCCTGAGTAAAATATGAGAAAATCATTGCGCAGAATTGACATGCCAAGGATTTAAGAAATGGTACTGAGGTTACAAATTGGATGTGATTTCTTTATGGATACTATTTTGCCTTCCAGAAAAGTGATGGAAAACCTTTTGAATGAAAAATGTTGATTTTATGAGTAAATGGAATTGGACATGAGATAAAAAGGTAATGGTAAAGCTTGGTGTGATATAAAAGTAATACACCGATGATAGAATATTGTTGATAGCTACAATACATGTGCACTATAAGTAGCACAGCGATTAGTTACTAGGTTGTTATTGTGTACGAGTGTTGCCCGTGTACACTCCCTTTGAGCTAGCTTTTGGGGCTGAGTTTTGAGTTTTACCGAGGCTCACTTAGAACAGTACCAGAGCACCCATATTTGTTTGTTTTGAGGCGATCTTAGGTTGGCCCATTTTGATTGGCACACTACACATGAGAGTAGGTGTTAGATGTTATGTTTGACTCACATCAATTATTTATTGGGCTGCTATTGTGTATATGTTTGGCTTGTGCACTCTTTTCCTTTGAGCTAGCTTTTGGGGATGAGTTCTATGTCTAGTTATCACGGATACATAGTAGGTATATTGTGGTAGAATGAGACTGATATTCTCTTCTTAGACAAGGTTGTAGATGTGAACTGTGAGAGAAACAATGAGAACGAGTGCATAGCATATTATTAGTTAAAGTCTCGTTAAAGATTCGGAGGAGGGACGGTGACTGATGCTGATCCATCACCCGATAGGCGGAGAAGGAGAGCGAAGTGAGTCTCAAAGAACGAAGCGAAGTTCAATCTCTGGAGAGGAGATTTAGGATTAGAACTTTTCTCCAGCATAAATTAGAAACAAAATTATTTGTATCCATATAGAGCCTCAATATGACTAAGAAGTACAATCAGCAGCATACCCGCCAAAAGAAATCTTCCACTGCAGGATCAGATCTCAATGCGGAAAATATCTTTTCATTCTCAATAAAGAAGCACAGTACCACAGAGTCGGTGACAATATCACACATGTAGGGCCTTTCAGCAAGCACTTCATACAAACCAAGAGTACTTCCATGTGTGAAACTTGAGTGCAATAAATGCTTATGGCTTTTACTTGACCACTGTCAAAAACAAATATTCATCCCTAAGCGGTTGGGTTAAGAACAAGTACAACGTCTAGTTAAATATCATAGAACCAAATGTAATAATGTATACTATGCAAATACCTTTACTACTCCATTTGATATTAACCAGATACCAGTTGGCTTTGATCCCTCTTTATATAGCGTTGCTCCTGATAATTTCATCATTTCTTTAGTCGATCCTACAAATGTCTCACGCAACCTAGAAGGAAGGGCTCCCAATAAAGGGTTGGCAGATACCAAATCCCTTATTTTAGGAACTTTGACCAAAGGAGGGTTTCTTAATAGCCTTTTCAAGTCAGTCTGCATAAAAGTGAAAAATTAGGTTGTTGTAACCAACAATAATGTCAAAACAAGGGTTAGCACAAGTCATACAGAAATGACCATAGTTTACCTGGACAGCATCGTGAAGATGGCTCATCTCCTTTCCTTCTAATAAGCCAATCTTCTCAAGATTATGTACATAATCAATCAAATGATTCAGCACAGAATACGTGACTTGCCTTGTTTTCACAACACGTAGTACCTGAATATGTCACCAACAGTAAATCTTATGGTGCATTAAATCAGCAATATAGGTCATGCTATTGTAACTTTTTACATACCTGAGGAAATGTCACCCGAACATCTTCCAGAAACTTCCTTGCTTCTTCACCTTCCTGCTCACTTTCCCTAATTACCATGGCAGCAATCTCACTATTTCCTATAGTGTCATCATAAAATGTATTTCTGTTAAAACATGATTTGGAATGAAATCAGATACTGAAAAGTTAATTTATTGAAATATGCCTCCTAGGAGATTAATAAGGAAGATGTCAATAGAAACTAAAAAAGCTTGTAGCATCTTTTATGCGCACAAAAAAGACTGACAGAAATTCGAGTAAATTAACAAAACCAAAACTCAGTAAGGACAGTCAACGCAATAATATCTATGTGACAGAGTGTAGAATATTTTTAGTCATATCTTTTGAAATGCGGTTTGAGTTAGTAGGAAACAGCAAGCTGTGTCTTACCAATGAAGTCATGTAGTTGCTGCCTTGCAATTCTATGTGCACGAAGAAAAGCAGCACAAATATAGCAGGCAGATTCTAATCTCTCGACAGTAAAATAAGTCACAAGCTTTGGAGGGACAATGCTTGCTTGGAGAAACTTATAGTGACTTGGCATGTTCACATAAGATTTTAGGCCCTTCCAATCACACAAAGCCTCATGAGGTACCACGTCAATTGCTTCATCAACAGATCGCATAAGAAGATTGGCTGTCGTCTGTGTGATCCTTCCCTCATCAAGCATGACCCAGTAAGCTGCCTGAACACCTAAAATTATATTGTTACCTTGAGTTAGAGAAGATACACATGTTATTTGACTTTCAATTAAAAGCACTATATTTTTCATACGTAGAAATATCTAAGACTCGTGTGTCTCATTTTTCAGAACATATGGTATACCTGCAAATAAAGAGAATATTTCATTTTTCATAACTAAGTGCAGTGTATCAAAGTAATCCTCTACACCCCATGGTACATTCTCAAGAGTCTAAATTCAGATGTTTATGATCTAATCTCTTCTATTTATTGAGAGATCATAATCCTAACCATTGATTAAATATTCGCATGGCTAAATCAGTTGATAATGCAAGTTTCATTTACATAAAGCTGCAGTTTCTTCTGCTAAGTTAAGCAAATTTATCAAATTTAAGTGTGACCATGACAAGTGATCGAACAACAGCAGCTCTGTGCCACAAGGATCGTTTTCCAAGCAGGGTTATTTTATTGATTTTCACGTTAAAATTCATTCAATAATTTGGTACAAGATTAACACAAGCAGTTAGCTATATTTGGGGCTGATAGTTCTAAATGTCATCACTGTTAAAATAACACCACCGCCTAAATCGGGAGATGCTTGAAATGTTGAGAAAATCAAGTGGCTTACTAGTTTATTAATTAAACTGTAAGTTGCATAAGAAAGACCAGACTGTTCTAGTTAGTGGCACGGATTCACCGACATAGACATATCTATATTTAGACCCCCTGCTCGTTATTTGTGTATGCAAGTTGAGAGTTAAGGAGAAATTAGAGTCTAAGTGTTCCAAGTGAGAGTTGAGAGTGTCAGACAGTGAGTTGTGAGAAAATTAAGATAATTAGAGGTGTCTTCTAGAGTTCTGCAATGTGTCGAATTTAAATTAGCTAGTTAATCTAATGTACACTAATATAATTAATGTCTAGTGGTCTTGATAAGTGAAATGTTATATCTTGGACCTGTTTCGGGTTTGTTTAATTATTTCACAAATACAATAAATTAAATACATTTATATCCACGTGTTGTTCGTATACCCAACCCAACAATTACTCGTATAATATCTTATTTGTTTAGTACTCCCATAATATCTTATCCACTAAATTCTTGTTCGTTTCTAAAGATGCCAGACATAATAAGTGTTGCTGCCATCTTGAAATTTCATTAAATTGTGCGTACATGTTCCAGTACCGCCTGGAGCATACTTTCACGATGAGTTCTTTTAGCTATGAATACTTATACAGCAAAGGTATTCTTCAAGATCTAGTATTGAAGACAATATCTGAAAACATTCGTATTCTAAAATTGGTTGATTGTTATTCAATGACAGATTTTTCATTCTTATTTTATTGGTTTAACTTCGTAAAGCTTATGTAATACAAAACTAGAGTGTCCACTTTTAAATAGTAAGCTCAATCATTGGACGCAATTGGTACCAAAACCGTTCCATATGAATTAAGAGTTAAAATTAGTGAATATGATATCCATAGAAGATTGTGGAATGGCCAGCCTCTGAATAATAATAACTGAACAAAAGGAGAGTTACATTGTAAAGAAATGAGGCTCTCTTTTTCAATAAGAAAATCTATGACACGATAGACTGAAAATTCGTGACATAACTTGATAAAACAACTATTAGTATTGGTTCATAGGATTTTAAACAGCGATTGGAAAACCTTAAGATTTTAGTAAAAATAAAATGATAAAGCATTAAGCTAGAGCAGTTCAATTAATGGGTTTATTAGAGATGCAAACACTTTCGTGTGAACAGATAATCCACAATGAAATTACGACAATCAGCTATTTCAATTTGAAAAATTAAGGTAACAATGTCTTAGATTACTCACCATTTAAGAAGCGCACACGTATATCTTCCAAATTCATATGTTCATAGTCATTATCATTTCCAGACGTGGAATGTGGGTGTTCTTGTACACCATCTATATCATTTAAGCTTTTTATGTATCGTTTAACAGAACCCCAGTCTGCGGGTCCTAACTCCTCATCCTCCGCAAGATCACCAAAGGCCTCCAGTGCTTTGTTCAGCATTTCATACTTTGTGTAATTCAGTATTCTCCTCTGCAATAAAATATGATAAAATCACAAGTTGCGAGCTCGGGCATGGTCAGATCACACAGATTCGAATATGCCACATAATCTTTTTTACATAATATGCACAGATATCCATGCCTGCATGCAGAGGAAGAAAATACCTTGGCTGCTGAAAGCCTGTCCATCTTAAGAATCTGTAAAACAAACTGAGTCGTTGATCCATTCACCATAAGCGTAAGAAATACAATTCCACCAGTCAAAAATACAAACTGCAACAGGAAAATAATTTAACTATCATGTTACAACATGCAAGTACAGATAGCATTTTTAGACTGTCCACATATTTTTGTATAGTATATTGAACATAGCATTTTAGTGACACTAGCAGATGGCCAATGATCTTCACACAACATACCAGACTCCCAGTATCAGAGCTGATATATGATGAGTTGTCACTCGAACGCTGAAAAACCAATAAAAACAACTAAGATAAATATATATAAATAAAGCCTTAATTTTCTAACTTCTATTTGTAATGTCTACTAATATATATACATTACAAATAGAAGTTAGAAAATTAGGGCTTAATATCAAAAAACAGCAACAAAAAATTTAGAAACTACCAAATGTGTTCTTAGCTATACAAATAGTAAGGTTGATTTAATATGAACACCTTTCTTTTTTATAACTCCAGTGAGTTGTTTCGTTAAAAAATAAATAAATAAAAATAAAAATTGAATTCCCAAAGGTACTTTACACTTCAGAGAATATCTAAGGCTACTAGTACAATTTTGTTCTTAATGTTGGGGAGATACAATAGATAATAGATATTAATAGTTTTCAAACCTTTATTTTTTTCAATTTACTTTGTTAATTCTTTTCTTTTATTCTTTGTTTTATCTCTAATCTTCTTCAACTTTACTATATATTTATGTGTTGGAGACTTGATTGTTGGAGTTATACATAAGTGATAATATTAAGATTATCCATGCAAATTTACAAATAAATCAAATAAAAAAATAGTAGGTTTATCCCTATACCTTAATACATGGTTAATTTTTAAATTTTACCCCTAGTTGTTAATACATAATTAATTTTTCTTTTTCTTAAGTTGTATGGGTCATTATAATTTGGATATCAAACATATTTTTGAAATAATTACTTATTAATTACATTACATTTTTAAAAGAAAGTTTGTAATTTGAGAGACAATTTGCAGAAATTTAAATAAATTTCAAATAAACCAATAAACTTTTTTTTTCTTAGTTATCTTATTGAATATTGTTCTACAAAAATAGGATAGTCTCTGTTTGGTCATTAAATAAAATATATGCAATATTTNTATATTATATTATGTGTTTTGTAATTCTTAGTGATACTAGTTTTCTTCTGTAAAATCAAAAGTGAAGAGCAGTCACAGTATTATATCTTTATAAATTATTGAAGCCAACAATATAATTCTCCTATACACATATTCTATTTTTAAATTTAAAGCATCATCAGTGAAAGTTACATAATCCAACAAAGAAGTAGCTTTGTAATTTCTTAATTACATAAGAAAAAGATTATGGATCATGTTATTTAATAAATGAATAACATTTAATGATGGGATGATTATTTATTGTTTTTCTTATAATAATTAAATTTTGGATGAATCATATAAGTTAAAGTATTCTAGTTTTACCAAACCTACATTTTTTATTCTTTAAGAAAGTTCAAATACTATCTGTACAAATGTGAAAAAAAATTTCAAGAGACCAACTTATTTGCTTAAATATTTCCCTACCACACTAGTCAATTATTTGAAATAATTAGGTTAGTACATACTTAGCTATTGAAATGTGCAATGTATTTTTTTCAATTTAAGAAAATCGATTAAGAGAATAGAAACAAATTTGAGAAAGATAAGTAGCACTGGTACATGTTAACTTCCTTTTAATTTATATTTTTGTTATAGTTGTATGACATAATGAGTATTTAGATAAAATGTATTTAATTCCATAAGTACAAAATACATATGATTCACTAACCGATGCACATTTTCTAATTTCTAAATTATTCAATATAACGGTAGTAAAATTAATTGTTTTCAAATGTACTTAGTTACATAACATATTATTTTATGTTATATATATATATATATATATATATATAATTGCTAGCAACAAATTTAATAAAACCCTTTAAGTTTCCCTCCATTTTCCGTTACTTTTGCATTGATTAAATATTTATATTTTTTATTTATTTCACTATATAAAAATTACTATTAATAAAGCATAAAGTCATATTAAATGATATTTCAATCTTAAACATTTTTTTTTTCAAGCGATTTATTTAAAATTATTTTTTTAACTCATTAAGCAAGTTTTTTTTATTAAAAGCAGTTAATTTTTTTATTATACAACCAAACCTTTTAAAATTCCGTACATAATTGCTATAATAATAATTTTAATTTTGTTTGATCTAATAAATTGGTCTTAATCAACCAAGATTGCAAAAATTATATTATTACAATCAATATAAAAATTAATATGTAAGTTAATAGTTTATTACTAATGATTAAAGCTATAGAATATGATATACTCATTATCTAACTTATGATTTTAAATATTCACACACACATATAACATATAAAATTTATTTGTATATGTGCATGTGCACATGATCGAATACTAGTTATTGTTAAAAAATAACATCCATCCTTGCTCCTTAACTAATATTGTTCAGGTTATTTTTCTTATTTTTGGAATCATTATCTATTGACGTCAAAATTAGTTTTATTTTTAATCTAACATATTTTGTCTCATTTTTACTTATTTCAAATATCAAATAAAATTCATAGAATAGGTATATGATATATCTTTATTGACGATTTAAATAAAAAATAATCTTTCATTATATAGAATGTAAAGTTTTCATATAAAACACTTCACTCTAAGTAAAAATAATAATCCACTAATTAAAATACTTTTAAAACTTTAATTTATTGGGTAAAACAAATAGGATAATATCGTTTACGTTTACCTTTTAATAGTACACATTATATACGTTCTTTCGTTAGTATGGTGTATATGGAGGATCTGCCGTTTATCTTAATTATAATATAAATAAAACAAAAAAATGCAAAAAGGAAATAACCCAACTAAAATGCGACAAAATATTCATATTTTAAGATAATATTATCACAATAGTTATGATTAGAAGTATTTAAATAAAAATAGTGAGCATATTAACTTTGAATTCGATACCATCCAATCTATATCTATATATATAAAATAAGAATAAGGTCAAATCAATTTTAGTAATAATTTCCCACCAAATTAATTAATGACCTTCTAAAAAAGGAAATATCACCACCGTTTTTTAAAAAGAAAAAACATTAATTGCATTGGAGGGAGAAGCCTTAGAAAAAGGAATTCAGTTTCTACTTAATTTTGTCAATATTTTTTTAATGTGAACTTTTATGGTAACCAATTTTTGTGGTACTAGAATCTTTTAGATATACTAAAACTCACTGTTTATTTGTATATTTCGATTCTTCTTTATAAAAAAACTGGTTTAAACATATTCATTGTTAATGAATATATTTTTTTCTTAGATAAATCTATCAAGTGATTCTATTCATATAAGTAAATCTATTTTATATTACTGTCGTAATAGGCGGTTTGCTATAATATTCATTATTGTCAATTATTTTATACCACGATTTTTGTGGTGAAATATCTTTTATATAGACACGAAATCATATTTAATTGTTTTGAACTACAAATGAGGATGCTATAATAAAAGAGATAAATACGTAATGCTTGCTTAATGGAAATCTGATTTACAAGTGAGAGTTTCTATTCATAAATAAATCTCTTATTTGAAGGTACGATTACATTTATTTTAAATAGTGCTATGCGATAGATACATCAGCTAATCATAGTAACAATCATTTTTAATTAAAGCCATAATATTCGGTTTGCCATTCAACTACGATTTATACAAACTAAATCAAATATTTTTAACCATCTTTTTTTTTTGGGCGTATCATGATTTTAGGGTTCCGTTTTTAAGTTCCAGCGGAGACAATTTTCTCTTATGGTTTCCTATGTCATGAACATAAACAAGAGTTAGGGTCAGTTTTTATCTCATGTTAGGTTGTTCTTGAAGAAATCGACTTTTAGTCACGGTCAATTATATGGTGATGTTTCACGTGTAACTAATAGAAAGTGGTTGAAAATATTAGTTTGTGGGGACGATGAGTTACCAGTAATCAAACTAATAATGTTATGTACAATGAAGTTTTTAATTATGTATGACTTAGTAAAAACGATGAATTTATGATTCTTTACAAATGTTCTACGTATTATAATTTATTGACTAGTAGCCATCAATTTATAAATTTTTTTTCAAAATAAATACAGTTGGTGCATCGCACGGGTTACGTACTAGTTTTATTTATCATATTATCATACGAAAGTTGTTATGCATCACTTCTCATAAGCAAGCAAAATAAATTATGAAAAACCTATATATCTATATTTATATAAAGAAAATAATCATTTACTAAAAATAGTAGCAAAAAAATCTTGAAACATTAAATGCATACCTTCTTTGGTAACTATTAAAATATATGCATTAATTGCTTCCATATACACAATTCCAAATCAGATCAATCAAAAATATTTTTTCCTTTAATAATTTTATTAACATTTGCAATAATTTCATTGATATCTATTATAATAAACTACAAATTTAATTTTTTGTGATTCATATTGATAATTTTATTGTCAAGATAGACATAAAAACATATTTTAAATTCTAATCATATTATTTTTTTTTCACAAATATTGACTTTTCATCTGAAAAATAGTAACATGTTAAGTAATTTTTTTCTTCATCTTTATTTCATTATATACATAAAAATAAAAACAAATTCTTCTTTAAATTGATATAATTTAACATTTAGGAGATAATGACCAAATACATTAAATAATTTTACTAATGGTCAGATAATGAAATTAAAATATATTAAAAATTCTTTAGAATTTCAACATGTGATTTATTTGTATTATTGTTAACAATGATCATTTTTTTATAATTTTTTATTTTGATTTCTCTCCATAGTGAAATTCTTTTAAAATATATTTTCATTGCACAGTATGAATAAACTATATAAACTATAAAGTCTTATGATGCAAATTAGAAAAATCAAATATGTTTAATTAATGATAGTGCATGCATAATAATGTTCCAAGATGCATTGGTTGTGAAAAAAAAAAATAATAATAATAATATGGTTAGAACTTAAAATTTGTTTGCATGTTTATCTTGACAAAATATTATCAACAGGAATCACGAAAAATCAATTTGTAACTTGTAATAATGCATATTAACGAAATTAAGGAAGATTTTAATAAAATTATTCAAGGAATCTTTTATATTATATACAACATTATCTTATTTAGAGAAACGTGTATATGCAAGCAATTAATGCATATTTAAAAAGTTTTCAAAGAAAGTATGCATTAAATGTTCTCAGATTATTTTTGCAACCACTTTCGTAAAATTTATTCTCTATATAGATTGAGCTTGCAAATATATGTTCGATTTCAAGTTTAACATGTTGTCAACAAAAATAAAGAAAAGTATGTTCTCTCATTATAACAACCACAATAAATCAAGAGGAAGAGAAAACATCAAACAAATTTGATTAACTTCCAGTTAACATAAAATATTGGTCACTACAAATGACAAAGATAGCAAATCTGAATCATTGTTCCAAGACTAAACAAAAAGAAGACAAGAAAAAACTACATCAAAGATGATGACAACAACAATTATCATGATTTCGGCAATGATTATATCATTAATTAGCAAAATTAAGGACAAATGAACTTCTCTACCAATCACGATTCAACAAAAATATTAATTTCAATTTTCTATTTCCAACAAACAATTCTTTATTTACATTTTACTAAATGATTTTTTTGTGAAAATAGAAAAATGAAATTTGTGGAAAATTTTGAACTTAATGCAAGTATAAATCCAATCAAAAATAGAAATTCAAATCACCATAAGATTATTAAGCATCACATGGAAGTCCATCTTATTAAAAGACTGATTGATGTTACATTTTCTTTCAATTTGAAGTATTTTCAGTCATTGGTCCTTATCCATAAATAATCAATAGATGCAGAATAACTTGCCTTAACAGAGAGAGCAAGGGATAATGCGACGGCCCCACGTAGACCAGACCAGACCAGAATAATAGCTTCTTTCCAGTCCAAACCATAACCAAAATATTTCAAGAATGGATACAATAGTCCAACTACAAGAACTCGTGAAACTTGAACAAGCACGTATAGAAGGAACAAATAACCCCAAGAATGCTCTGTGTCGAAAAAAGAAATGTTATCTTATATGAACAAACAAATAAATAAAAACCAAGTAAAGTTGTCGAGGAAGAACGGGTAGATATGATTCATAGAAAAAATTGAAGTAAAGCATAGTGGAACGCCAACCAAGAAAGTTCAACTGATGAATTGTTTTATGATGAATTGTTTTAACATACAGTAAACATCATCATTCTTCAAAATGAAAGACTTAGCGCAAGCTCTTGATGTAAAACTGTCTTTCGAAGGTGCTTATATTATCATCTAATGTTATTCTTTGAAGCAATAAGCTCTTGCATGTGATTAAAAAGAAAAGGACTAAGTGAACTACAAGTCTTATGTATAAGACCATGTAACATCTCTGACTAATAATTAGTATATCTAAGCGCAATAGTTTACAGTGATAGGTTATTGATGATACTCCAATCCAATGGATCGCAGTAAAAGTTGATATCAAAATCTGACAATTCACGAAAACTTGACACTGTAGTAGGTATGCTCGACAGATTGCAATCTTTTTACTCTAGTGCCTCCATGATAGTGAAGACTCAATAATCTTCCCTTGAAAGGCAGGCTGATTCTCTTATCTTTACTTGTCTACCTAGATTTTAGGTTTCGCGCTTATCTTACATTTATCCTTGGCATTCTGGCAATTATAATATTCAGTTCTACACAACATAAAACGATGGACTAAAAGCTACCATGTCAAATAATAGATTCTGGGAAAGTGTAACTTCATGGCTCAGCCCACATGACAAATAACATGAAGAATTGAAAACTTCTAGCCCTAAAACAAAATCTAAGAAGGCAATTATTGTCCTAATTTCCAATAATATGCTACAAAACCATGAGTAAAGATCAAAATGTATGCCAAATTACATGGCTATCATAAATGGTACCAGACATCCTTAAACTGTTCGCATGACACAAAAGAAGATAACTTACCATGGCTTCCAGATATACTGCTACTTTTGAGCACACTTTCAGCTATCACTACACCACTGCAAATACAGAAGTGTAAATGAAATCATGCATGCCGATTAATACTTCTATCTAGCTTAAGAGAGATGTTCAATTAGAAACTTTGACAACTGAAAATTATACGAATTTGAATACAAAGAAGATATGCATGGATAGTCATGGGGGCAACAATGAACATAGAATTCAAGAACTCAAATATGCCTAGCTTTTCTGGAGAAAAAATATATATATTCCCATCATCCTACAAAGATAATCATATAACAATTTTCTCAGATTAGGAAACACGATCATCAATGTAGGAAAAGTAATAAATACCTCAAATTAATTATTATTTTCTCCAATGACCCTCTTCTATCCACTATCTCCTTAATTAGATACTCTATATAAAGTAACATTGTGATAGAAGTAACGTCATGAGTAATGGACCAGGAAAAGAAATTACGCAATCTATTAATATATAAAGAGGTAACCTAAATAATTCTAAAATAGTAACCAAAAAATAAATGAAAATCCCACTTAAATACTAACTAAATATAGTAACTATCTTTTGAAAAATTTCATTTGCCGGTCTTTAGAGAGGAGTGAATTTTTTGCTAATTTGAAATATGGAATCACGTAGTTGGTGGAAGATTTGATTATTCACTCCTAACTTAATGGAATCACGTCGTTATTCACTCCTAATTTTGTTGACACTCCTAATTTTTTCATTTGCCTGTCTTTAGTGGAGTGGATGCTTTGATTTGATTTGATTTTTTTGCTAATTTGAAATCGAAATTTGTGGACACTCTCAATTTATTTTAGGACTCCCGATTTTGTGGACATTTTGTAGACACTCTTTACATGATAGACATTAAAAGAACTTTAAACTCTTATCAGATAATATTCCATAGATAACAATGCCAATATATATTAACTCGTGTCTACAATTTGGTTTATCAAATTTTCAAAACTCAATAACATTCAAATTTATATCAATTTATTTGATAGTAAAAATCATAATGATAATAATTATTGACTTTGATATGGTATATTAGTAGATAATATTTTAAAACTGCATTAATGTCTATCATAGTATCATGTAGACATTCGTTAATTTAAAACCATAATTTGCCAACTAAAAATGCAATGATAAATATTAGTTAATATAGTAATTATTGAAATTGAGGAAATATTAGTTTATAAGATAAGATTTAAAACCCCATTCATGTGTTAATCATGTTGATATTTGTGAAATAAATGGAATATTATCTGATAAGAGTTTAAAGTCCCATTAATGTCTAGAGATTTGTTTTCACAAATCTCTTATGCATATCATGTTTATTTTAATAATATTATATAAATCAATAACTCACATATTGATTATAAATAATAGAGTAGTCTACCTCAATTTGTCTACTACATCCTACGCATAATTTATTTCAAACATTCCTACTCTCACACATCAAACTTTCACAATGGATCGATCATGGGGCCTTATCAAAGATATAAAGAGGAGTAAGAGACACGTGATGAAGCTTCGGGCCATCTGCGTTTTTGAACGAAGTTTCAATGCCTTGGAAATAGTGTTCCATGACAATGAGTTTGATTTTTTAATTTAACTATTACAAATTATTATTTGTAATTATTCAATCTAAGTAAATGAACAAATTTCGTTGACATTTTATTCATTGTTAAATGTATAGGGCGGCCGCATAGGCGGTTTGATTCGAGGAGTTAACTTACCTACCCTACCCTAAGTGACAAGTTTGAAGAGGGCAAAGTGTACACCATTCGAAACTACTAAGTTGAATCTAATATTGGTAAAGATAGATCGACAAGTGCGCCTTACAAAATGATTATTCACGTCGAAACTAACGTATTGGAGTATGGAGTATTATGCCAACTTTCCAATGTTCCGATTTGATTTTCGAAATTTTGTCACCCTTCAAGATTGTCACAATTTGGACGAGTCTATTTTGTTTAAGTGTACATACATCTAATTCATCAAGTATTATAATTAATATTATTTTATAAAATTATTAAAGTATTGTATTCCATGTAAAAATCGAAATGTCATGTCATTTATCATGGTTTTCAGGTTTGAAGCTGAGTGATGCAGATACAAAAAATTTAGCTCTCCCAGAGATTGAGACATCATGGCACCAGTCTTCACGACTATTCTACTATGCCTTTTCCGTATCATTGTGTTAACCGTCTGGTTTTAGATGAACTTAACTATGACCGTAAGGCTCTAACTATTGAGCATGATGCACTTCTAACATATGACCGATGAACAGAATGGAGTTTATTCCAAAATAATGACATATGTTGATTCCGATAGGGGCGGCGTGTTTTTTGTTTATGGTTAGTAAGACATACTTGTAGAGGACTTTAGCTGCTGGGCTAAGATCGCACGGCCGAATTGTGCTTTGTGTTGCATCCAGTGAAATAGCATCTCTGTTGTTGCCGAGCGGAACAACTGCACATTCTCGATTTGGCATACCTCTATATGTGCATGAAAATTCATCGTGTGAGAGATCAATCAAGCTGGCAGAGTTAATTATTCGCTCTTTATTGATCATATGGGATGAGGCCCCAATAATGCCTAAGCATTGTTTTGAAGCTATTCAAGCATCTTTTAAGGCAATAATGGGAGCACTCAACCGTTCGGAGAGGCAAGACAGTTGTGTTTGGCAGAGACTTTCGACAAATCCTTCCGGTAGTTCCAAAGGGAAGTCATTAGGAGATTGTTAATGCAGCAATTAATTCTTCTAGCATTTGGAGAGACTCTACTGTGCTTAGGCTTACAAAGAACATGCGTCTTCAGAGCATTAGCGATTCGAATGAACGTAATGAGCTACCCGCTCGCTATCGGAGATGGAACATTGGGGGGTCAAATGATGGTTGTGCTGCGATAGACATACCAGATCATCTATTACTAGATCCATCCAATGATCCAATTGCAAAAATTGTTGAAAGCACGTAGTATCCGATGTTCAAGAATGTAACTGATGATCCAAGTTACTTGAAAGACAGGGCTATACTTGCGCAGACACTGGAGATCGTAGAATCTATAAATGCATACATGTCGTTGAATTTGACTGAAGGACGCACGTATTTAAGCTCTGACAGTACGTGTAAATCCGACTCCAATACCGACTTTCTGGCAGCACTCCATACTCCCGAGTTCTTGAATACTATCAAGTGTTCTGGAACACCGAATCATGAGCTGTATTTGATGGTAGGAACTCCAGTGATGTGGAACATGGATCACTCAATGGGACTCTGCAATGGTACATGATTGGTTGTGACCAAACTCTCCAATCATGTTCTCGAGTGTAAAATTCTATTGTCGATCATGCAGGTGATAAAGTTTTGATACCTCGAATGACCATAACTCCTTCTGATGTTAGAGTGCCATTCAAATTCCAAAGAAGGCAGTTCTCCATTATGGTTTCTTACGCAATGACTATAAACAAGAGTCAAGATCAATCCTTATCGCATGTTGGCTCATTTAACAAGAGTCAAGATCAATCCGAAAGAGTTGGAAATGTATGATCTAAACACTATGGGAATGACTCATTTAACATCTTTGTCCCCTATGCGCTATGTATTAGTTACGAGGAAATAGAGAACTTCATATTTTTTCACAACTAAAGTAAATAAAATATAAAAATGGTAATAAGAAATAGAAGGGTAAGAAAAAAATAGCATATAGGAATAATAAACCAGTCAAATTCCTTCAGACTAAGCACCAATAAAGATCCCCAAAATCAGCATAAGATTTTCCATGATAAGATATCCTTCTATTCTTTCATCTCTATCTTAAATGGAAATGTGGACTATCTTTTGGGTAAAATGGGATTAGTGATATACATTTATCCACAGTTGTCATGTGATGGGTATGAAGTTGAACCATAACATGTACAGATAAGTCAGAATACAATGCTATACTTACGAATGTGATGTCATTATTACCACACGCATCATTAGCATTGTGCATTAAGAGAGACCAAATGGTTTCAGAATGGCAAAAGAATGCTGAACTTGTTCTTACCTTAAGATAAAGATCAATGTATTAGCAATATAAGCAACCATATCCCTGAAACAATTATTACAAGTCATTAAAACCCAATGCTGGAATTTATAGCAGCAGTAGAGAATTAAGCCACAGCAAAAATGACAGAACTTATAACATGGAGAGAGTTATAAAAGCCAACAAAAACCCAATGCTGGAATTTATTGCAGCAGTAGAGAATTATGCAAACGCAAAAATGACAGAACTTATAGGAGCCAAAAAAAACCCAATGCTGGAATTTAAAGCAGCAGTAGAGAATTAGCCACAGCAAATATGACAGAACTTACTACAGAGAGAGAGATATAGGAGCCAACAAAAACCCGTGGCAATGCCCGTAACATCGACTCAGATGCATATGATTAAGTGTGTGGGTTATTCAACTTCAGATGTTATGTTTAATGAAATCAATGCAATGCTTGAGCAATAGATCAACTCAGTAGCATTTGATGTACCAGTAGGTGCTATCACAGACAAGGAGAGCTGAAAAAGATGCTGCTACCAGCACCTAAAAAATTAATCAGACCCTTGGTGACCAATACATATCCTATAAACTAAGTGGCCTTAGCCAATATCTTGGGGAGGTGGCTTACGTTGTTTACTTGCATTACCCATAATTGTAACACAAATTATTAGTCAAACATATGACTTAATAGACAACGAGTTGAGGAAAGTACCAAAAATGATGCAAGCTTTGCTGACTTTCACCTTTAAAAGCTGTTCGAGCCACAGCAGCATAAAACCTGCCAATGCATCTCAAATTCTCAATTCAGGGGAAGCTGTTTGTAATCTGTATCATCAACCTTAAGAAAATAATGGAACCTACATTCCCAAAGTCATGACTGTCAAAACTCCAGAGACGTCAAGTCCCTCTTGGGCCTGCGACATACAATGTTCCTCAGTTTCTCTCACATACAATAGAATGACACAGAGAAAAATGAGATGACTATAATAATACATTTCAAAAATTCTCATTAAATCAGCTAAAGTTAGAAGACTAGAAGCCAGTTAAAATGAAACAGCTGACAATCAACTCGTGCTAGGTCACACATTTCAATCTTTCAAGTACAAGTTGCACTTCATATTTCCTGGAGACATAATTAGTTATTGTGAATCCAATTTAGAACATTTCACATAAACACTAGTCATGGTTTACCTGGTTCCCAACAGAGATCAAAGCATTGAGGAAACTAGTAACAATAGGAATGGAATATATGTGTGGGTGTGGGTGCATACGCGTGTATGAGTGCACATTATTAAAATTTGCATCCGAAATGTACAGCAACATTTGGAACTTTCTGTTAATCGTAACTCATTATCCAGTAACAATTGGGACTGAAGAATGTATGAAATGCATGTTTGCTTGTTCAGTATATCTCACAATGATGACAACAAGGACACTTCGAATGGTAATTTCATATCGGTGGGAAAGCATAATGAACATCAATACATTAGTTATAGATTCGAGAAAATATTGGCCGAACCATTTTCTAAATGCAGCATAAGTAATAGGCATAAAAAAAAAGGGTATTACACCTTTTGCCAAATAAAAGTGCAAGGTAAAGATTTAATGCCCGCAATATAATCACCCAAATTAACAATGAAGAACATATGACCAAGGTGCATAGGCCTAATAAGATATTTACTGTGAAATAGGCTGTGTAGCTCACGGCAACTGTCAAAGAAATTTCAATAACTGTGTCATTGAATATACATCCCAGCCACAAGACAGATGCTACACCGAAAGCAACACCATTACCTACCCTGTACCATGAAAAATCATAAGCAATAATGTTGACTCATTATTTTCTACCAAACATGTTTGAACTTACGCTCCAAGAGAGACTTGTGACAAAAACTTGATTAATGCCCCCCAATTAAAGTTCCAGCCGTGAACCATCCGATAAAATAACTGAAAGACCACAATTGCTGTCCTGAAATCACAGGCGAATTACTTTACTGGAAACGCTTGTCAACCATATTTGGATATCCACAAAAAGAAATCAAGCAAAAGGCATTCCTAAGTTAACCAGCTAAACATATTAAGTCAACAGTAATACCCGTCATTCATCAAGGACTCTCCTTCAATTATAGTATTCAATTTTTTGCTAGCTCCCAGTTCTTTCAGAAGAGCCACAACAGCCACAGGATCAGTAGCACTGAGGAGGCCCCCAAGCAGCAAGGATGTATTCCAGCTCCAGTTATAGGGAAAAAAAAGCTACATTTTATCCAATTTCAGAATTATTAAGAAAAACAGATGTCAGCGGAAAATAAAGAGAATTCCTCATACCTTTAAAGCAGCCCCAATGAAAAAGGTTGAAATGACCACTCCAGGTCCAGCAAGTAGAAACATTTGCATTATACATCTCTGTAGTGAGTGGGGAAAACGAAGACCAAACAGTTCAACAGAAGTAACAATCATCAAAAACCTTCAGCATACTGCAGAAAATTGACTTATAACCTACATATACAAAGATTATTAATGTTAAAGCAGTAACAAGGCAGAATTAGGCAGGTTACAAACCCCAGAAGTCTGCTCAAGTTCATTCGATTGTTTAATGTTTCGTAATATCATCACAAGAAGAAACACAAATGGGAATGTCACTTGACAACTCATACAAGTACAAGCTTATCCTTCGAGTGAGAATATCATATGATGTATCAAGATTTTGAATGTTCGGTAACAGATTGAAAAGAAGAAAAGGAATTTTGTAGTCAACTCTGCTCATACTAAGTTCCTTCAACCTACATCACCACTATGCATGCAAAAAGCATCTAACATATTGGCCAGATGGGGCAGTAAGAATGAGAAATGTAGTGATACATAAAACAAAGCACAAAATAAATGGAGAGGTTAAGCATGAGAACCTTTATCTGGTGAACTTCCATAGAAAATGAGCTCTCAAAGAGAAGCGCAGGAAGGAACACAGCCAAGAGAAGGTCAGGATCAATATCAGCCCCTATAAACAGGCACCTTTTATTAAAAGCAGATATATTATCAAAACAAAACATGGGCTTGACCGCTTGAACGAAAAGCTGCGTGAATTAAGCTAGTAGTTTATTGGCGCATAATGTCCTTNAAAAAAAAAAAAAAAAAAAAGCGAGAGAGAGAGAGAGAGAGAAATCTGTAGGGTAACTTACATATGCGAATCCCATTTCCAATCTTTCCCAACTGGTGATGTGTTCCGTATTCTGTAAAAATAGTGAACTAAAAGATAAAATCCCAACACCAAATTCAAGAGTGATGTAGCAAGGTCGTTGATCAAAATTCAAATCCCTATTTCAGTTGCTTTCATATCAACTATAACGTAAGTAAACACCCATGATAAATTTGAAAACGACAATACACGAAAAGCATACCCAGGGCACCAAGGCCAATTCCGAGAATCAGCAGAGCCACTGTGTAAGGGACACGTGTGCCCCTGAGGGCGTGTCGGCACGCTATTCCCAACACCAAGCTGATCCCAACGAAAATCACCGCGTCCGTTGGACTACCATTCGAAGGCCAGTCCTCTTCCAGTACTCTCACCGGCTTGCGACTGAGGATTGACGCCATCATTCAGCTTCTCAGCAGTTCAATTTCAGAGGGAACAGAACTTCGTCCTCATGCAACAGTAGCTTTTCCCAATTTTTTTAGGTAAATATGCTGAAATTTGATGCTGCTTCGAGTTGGCGAAATGAAATCTGAGGATTCCGGGTGACAGCATTGTACACTTGAACATTAGATGGTGTTCTGGAGTTTAAACACCGTGGGATCATCTCACTTTAATTTAATGGTCAGAGTTTTATTTATTATTCATTTTTTTTTTTACTTTTTCACTCACGTGCCTTTTTTCCCTCTTCCAGCCCTCATCTTTTCTTTCCTTCTTTCCATTTCTCCAGTCCAGCCCCAAACAAATAAAAAAAAATCTTCAAAATGTCATGTTATGATCAACCAAATAATGATATATTAAGTCCGGAAAATAATCTCGTAAATGAAGACTATGGGAGCATGTTTGTTAAGGTAGATTAGATAAGATTGCATCACTTATCTGGCGTTTATCTTGTGTTTGTTTTCTTAGATTACGGCCCGACAGATTTCTTTCAGCCCGCGATTTGGTCGGGCTCAATCGTGTTGTGCGGCGATAAATTGATCTTGGGAGGGGGGCCATGATTCAAAAAATCCATACAGTATAATTTGTGTATATTTACCTAAATATCCCTAACATTTGATTTTTGAGACTGTTGTACCCCTTCTAGTGATTTAAGTTACCCAACTACCAGCCTCTATTATTGTATGGTGTACAGTACATAACACCAATTCATTTTGTAGAGTTTACGGAAACGAAAATTGATTTACCCAAAGAAAAGGCAACAAAGCTTGTTGTAAATAAGTTAAACCTTGAAGAATTNAACCTAAAAAAACTAAAAATAATAAATAAAAAATCAGAATTTCGGCTTATATAATTATTAAACATAGTAATTTTTTTTGAAAATTTTCAATAAATCATGCCTACAAATTTTTCAAAATTAATTTAAATCCAATAATTTAAAGGATATATATAGATGATATGTTTGTTCAGACATATAGGAAACCATCCAAAAAAATTAAATTATTTAGGTAACATAATATATGATACAAAATTAATATGTGCAAATAATATTAGATTTAAAAATATATTTTGAATATTACCGAAGTATTTTTGTTGCATAAAATCTAGATACAGACCAAATCCATATAAATATATGTAATATTATATAGTTTATTTATACCTAAAATTGGATACTTAACTGGACTTATTTATCAATCTATATCTATATATATTGAAAGTGGTTTTTGGAATAATCTAAAATAATAATTTTGACTTTATAATTAAATTAGTTGACTTACTATTAAAAGAAATATAGTAAAAAATACTTTAATATATTTGAAAAAAAAAAATACAACCTACCTGCCTGTTGCAAATTGTGTAATTCGTAAATAGCATGATTTTTATATAAATAAAGTGGTATCAATTTTGAACATTATTTTGTTATAACTATCACAGTAAAATCTGATTCTTTATATTAATTATTAATCACTGAATTTCTTATTTTTTTAATAACCAATTATACACAGTGGTTTTTTACAATATGTCTTCAAAAAAGCAACTATTAAATTGGTTTTGTTTGTAGAAATATTGTTTGAATATGAATGAGAAAATTGAAAATATAACTATATAATAAAAATTAAAATCAATTATGTTAACCCGACATGCAAATTATTATTTTAAAAAGAACAAAATCTAAATATTTATAATATATATTGTTACAAATTATGATTACAACATATAAATTATTAACTTAGAAAAATAATACAAAAATAAATGTAATATATATTGTTATAAACTATAATGGTAAACCAACAAGTGATCTATCAAACAACGATGTAATATTTAGATTAGAAAAAATAAAAAATATTTATAGCGTATATTGTTATTAATTATAATGATAAATCAGTCGGTATGGAACTCTCATATAAATTATTAGATTATAAATAAAAATTTAAATACTTATAATATACATCATTATAAATTATAAAAAATAAAACAAAATAATATTGATGTAACTAAAAGTAATTAAATTTTTTAACTTCAAAATAACATATACTACAACCTTTTCAATTAAGTGTTGTTTATAATATTGTTCAATTTTTTATTTTTTTTTAATTTTAGCATAACTTATTTTAGAATTTAAATATTGTAATAACGTATGAGTAAGGGAATATAGAGAGAGAAGTATTTTGTTTATATTATTTATTGATAATGTTTGAAATGTTAAATTATCATTATCCTTAATTCTAGATAGGACGTCTAAAATGACAGCTATTTTATAAAAATATAAATATTCAAAACTATTTTTACTCTATTTTTTAAATTATTATAAAAAAATATTAATATTGAAAACTATTTTTATACTATTCAATATTCTTTCATGTCTTTAATATATGTAATTTATAACTATTGGCTATGTATGAATTTATTAAAAAACGATTGCAATAAATGATACCATGCAAACCGTGGCAATTGCAT